CTTAGAGCGAAGCAGTTCAGCTTACAGACGATAACTTTGTTTACACACTTGGACATTTGTTTACAGTGTTTGATATGGTTTACTTTATCAAGTCCGCTTGGTTACATAAGACTCTGTGCTCTGATGTGTGTTTGACTACGTTCAGCCCTGTGCTTCTTTCTCTGTTTGACAGAGAAGGAAATAATTTTTGTGAGTCACCCAATGTTCACAGGTCTAAGTATAAGGGGTTATGAAAAACACTGAACAGGGTTTGCCTTTATCCCAATGGAAACCACTGGGAAATCATTTGTGTTTAACACTTGACATTTGACTTTGCTAGATCATTTCATTGGATCATTTGCTAGGTCATATTTGTAAGGCAGGGTGCGTAAGACAGATGTATCTGAAACTGATATCAGTGAAACAAGGTTTAGTTAAAAATAATAATAATAAAAAAAAACAGAAAATGAAGTATAATACAATTATATATCAAATTGATGTAGACAGATTGAGTTTATTTAGTATTAATTTACTGACAACATTACTGAGTACAAAAGATTCTGGTGTTCATCATTTCACACAAGACAGAGTTTTATTGTTAGTCTTGTAAAGCACATGTATACACTTACCAGCCACTTCATTAGGTACACCTATTCAGTTCTTAATTAATGCAAATATTTAATCTGCTAACTCAATGGCAGCAACTAAATGTATTTAGGTGTGCAGATATCATCAAGGTGACCAGTTGAAGTTAAAACTGAGTATCTGAATGAGGAAGAAAGGTTATTTAAGTGACTTTGAATGTGGCATTGTTGTTGGTGCCAGATGGGCTGGTCTGAATATTTCAGAAACTACTGATCTACTGTGATTTTCCCAGAAAATCATCCCTAGGTTTTTAGAAACTAGTCTAAAAAAAGAGAAAATATCCAGTGGCAAAAATGTCTTGTTGATGCCAGAGGTCAGAGAAGAATGGCCGGACTGCTTTGAGCTCAAGGCAGCAATAACTCAAATAGTCATCACTTGTTACAGCTAGTGTATGCACAAGACGTTGAACCTCGTGTGCTACAGCAGCAGAACTACACTGGGTTCCCATCCTATCAACTAAGAACAGGAGTGATGGTAGAATTGAACAAGCACACCAAAATCGGATGATTGGGAAAAAAATGTTTCCTGGTCTGATGAGTCTAAATTCTGACCCTACCAAATGTTACAGAAGAAATCAAGTGTAGACAACATAAATGCCAAATAGCCCATCTTTGCTTGTATGAGTGGTTCAGGTTTTTGTTGGCGGTGTAATGGTGTGGGGGATATTTTCTAGACACACTTTGGGCCTAGCATTTGCCACCAACTGAGTTTAAAGCCACAGCTTACCTGAGTACTGTTGCTGGCCATTTCTGTACTTTTATGTCCACAGTGTACCCATCTTCCAGCATGATAAGACGCAGTGTCACAAAGATCAAATCAACCCAGACTAGTTGAACATGTTACTGAGTTCACCGTACTCAAATGGCTTCTATAGTCACAAGATCTCAATTCATTAGCACACTTTTGGAATGTGGTGGCACGGGATATTGTCATCATGGAAGACCAGCTGGCTCATCTGCATAAACTTGTCAAATCTGTGTCACAATAAAGTCAGGTATGAGGGAAAAAGTGGGTCCAATCTCATATTTGCAATGTTGTAGTAAGTAAGGAATATGTTATTTATATATCACCTTTCAAGAGAAAGATCCCAGCAAAATACCAGAGCGTTAAAAAAAAGAAAAAAATAAGAGTACAGTGAGTCTTGCTGTGTTTTGTAGGCCCAAGCAGATCACATTTGTTTGCTGTCTGCAACCCAGGATTATGGAAATAGTTTTATCTGAGTTAACTCACATTATATCAGTTCGTGGTAGGGTATCTTATTTGGATGTGATGTCTCACCAAAGCACCGCCCAACCTTCCTAGAAAAAACTGTGTGTGTGCATGCATATGCATGGGTGTATTCAAATAAGGAAAATATGTATGGGAAATTCCAAAGTGTTCGCTCACAGGGTGTCGCTTTATGGTTGGGATTTTCTCCAGAATATTGTAGGGTCTTTAACTTACAGTATAAAACACATTGAGGAGATTGCGGTTGTGATTTGGTGCTATATACAATAAATAATCCTGAATTGAACTGAACTAAATACTATGTATGCATGTACAGCAATTGTTAGTTTTGCTGGAGATGAGGAAGATGTGTCTACATGTCTCCACGCTTTTATTAATATTCATCGGTCTAGTGGAATTGAGCAACATATTAGTAAGAGAAATATGGAAAAGTAGCTGTAGGCTCTATGACTAGAAACAAAGTATTCCACCTGGCAGGGAAGCTGGCCAGAGGCTGACAGAAACATGGAGATAGGATGTCAGGGCAATAAAAAGTCCACTCAAGCATCAGCTGTGGAAGAAGAAAGGGTTAACTTCTAGGTAGAAGGCACAGCCAGAGAAACAGGTTGTTGACAAGAAGAAATCCATGCCTTCCTTCCAACATCAGGAGATATGTTGGGGTTAATGGAGCAAAGAATTAATGAATGGTCGTCCCAGGCTGACAATGCAGTATGTCTGCCAGAGGCTAGTTGTCTGATTGGTGGAGGAGTGAAGATCAGAGAGTCTCAGGCTGAAAACTCTCTTTTGCTACATATTAAAATGGTTAAACACGCTCAGACTCTCTTTCCCCTCCAAACATTCAAATAGATTTTTCTGCTGATGAATAATATCAGACACTTACAAAAAACACACTGTTGTCAATTTCTCATCAGGATTATGAACGCATGCTTTAGAAGATGTCAAACAGGTCTGTGTCAATAAAAGATGAATAGGTGTTTTAAACAAACAGACAATGGGAGTCTATTGTCTCTCCTTCAGTGGGGAGGAAACACACTCACTGTTTTCACAAGGAACACTGTGATCATCTAAGCATGTGTTGCTGACGTATGTTTCTAAAAACCCATGTGAAATTTATCTACTGATCCACGTCCTGCATGTAACAGTAGTTAGTTAATGTATAACTTGACTTGTCAATACCTTTCCTATTTGCTGTGGTTAAAGGGCACACAGATGTAAAATCCTTAAAATGTTGTATTAGGACCTGTATCACATTATTGCAAAAATATAAAACTCAGTTTGTGATTTATAGTGTGTGTGTGTGTGTGTGTGTGTGTGTGGGGCGGGGGTCACATGTATGACTTATTCCTTATCAACATATGACACCTAACCCTAAGGCTCTTAGACGAGGATAAGTCATTAAAAAGACCTCAGCTAGCCATTATTTTTCTGTCTTTACCCTTAAGGAGAGACAGATTCTAGTTTATCACTTTCTCTTCCGGGATGGATTTGAATGCCTTAAGGGCAGAAACACAGAACAGCAGCAAAGAGGTGTGGCCACACAGCTCCAATGACAGGTAGACACAAGGAGGAGCTACATTACCTGTGCAGAGCTGGTGGCCAGTGCACAGGGAACAGTACACCTGTTGTACTTCCCAGGCTCTAGCTTTTTTGTTTGTTTGTTTATTTTTTTTCGCTCTGTTTCCTTGTGTCTCTTTCTTTCCTTGCCTTTTTTTGATTTTAGTCTAATAGCAAAGCCTCACGATGGATCCCAAGGAGGGCGGTGGAAGTGAGAAGGAAAAGGAAAAGGAGAAAGTGATTAAAAGGAGGAACCGGCCTGTGTTCCTGCGTTACCTGGAGAGGAGAAAGACGGACACAATCGTAGCTGATGACACGGACAAAGGTGACATCAACCTGGGGACGCTGGTGAGGAGGAGTCAGTCTGACAAGACAGAGTACAGCGCCAAACTTAAAGGTACAGCAACTAATGATGTCCCTCAGGGATCAAAACTATGGCAACAACTTATACGCGCAACTGTCCTTCTGAAAAGTCTCTGCATTTCAAACATGGTGATAAAATGCTGTGTGGGAGAAGTTCAGACAAATAGATCTGAATGTAGACGGGCTGTAGGAGCAGCATCGATGGCTTTCGGGCAAATAGTGATCACACACACACACACACACACACACACACAACTTACATACAGTGGCTACACACCACAACGACACCATCACACACCACACCACACACGACCCACACACACACACACACACACAAAAGTGTGGGCCGCTCTGCACCCTGAACCTGTTGTGTTAATATGTGTTGAGCAGGCGATACTCCCACAGGGATGAAGCCACATATGCAAAGTGTGCTCCAAACTCAGGCACAGAGGAGTGGCTTAAAATTGTTCCAGGCCAGCTTGTAAACAAGGCCAGTGTTGTGCGATGGCAGGGACTTTGGATCTTTTTTTTTTTAATTTAAAATGTTGGGTCTTAGTTTTGATCACAGTGGCCGTAGCATTTAAACCAAAAGCCATGGGAGGCATAAGCCAGCTGCAATAGGAAATGAGCTGTGAGAAACAATTGTCAATTCAGCTGTGTGTTGCCTCATTACTACTGCTGACACAGTCTTTTCATTCTAACACATAGTAGTAAGTAAAACTGGATTCCCCTGTCCTTAAAGTGCAGTCAGTGCCTGGGAATGCTCCCTGCCGATGACATCAATCATCAGCAGGGGGTTGATATGAAAGATTAGGTAAGTATGTAGGCTTTCCTGTGCCACTTGTTCTTTGTCTTCTTTTTCATTGAACAATGCTCATCACATGACAACATGACTGCACCGTGGTTCAAATAACTGTGTCTAATAGTGCAGTCTAACCTAGTTCCATCTTGGTGTTTTGTGGATAACAACACCTTTCACACACACACACACACACACACACACACACACACACACACACACACACACACACACACACACACACTTTTGTCTTTTCAGAAGATGTTAAGTTTATATGAAACATAACCACTCTTCATCCCTTTGTACTTTCTACTTTCAGAACCTGCATCATGGCAGGCTGAGTTGTACAAAAAACACTGTGATGTTTTGAGTAAACTACTTACCCACGCCTTTTGACTTCACCCTCAGGGAAACCAGCAGCATTACATATTTACACCAATGCAAATATTGACAGAACGATGACTTCACTGAAAGAGGAAACATATGACTTGCTGCTAGAAAGTCTCTTCTCATATGCTTGCCAGACAGGTTGGTCAAGCCATAGAGCCATGGCAACAATGACATCAATATGTCTAATTATTTACCGCAACTAAATAAAATACTTCCAACAATGATTTACCAGCAAAAAACGCCACAGGACAGTAATGGAACAGATAAAACTACCTATTTGTTTGTAGTTTCTGAAGTCTTTCTCGCCTGTTTTCTAACTTTCAAATAACTTCAGGCATTTAAAAAACAATTTAATTTATTGTGTCCAAAGTATTTCTCCTTCCCACTGATTGCCACAGGGGCCTGTGCTATGCGGATAAGTCTGTCATGTCATTTTTCTTGATGGTGATACGTGATACACTGTGGCCTTCATTCTTTCCTGTCCACTCTATTGGATCCCTTTCACTGGACGGAGCAGTTTAAAAACGCCCTGTATTTGCTTTCATGAGAACTCCGATCCTAGTAACCATACCTCACCAAACATAATGCCGGCAGAAGGATAAGTTGAAATGTCCCGCCTATTCTTGATCCATGTTTTTTTTTTTTAAACTCTGTGGAGGGAACCTTTCAAGGTCAAGTTTGAATGAGACAGACGAGTGTTCAGTTCAAAGCTCTGGAAAGGAACCGGGATTCATTTAACTCATTAAAACCTTTTACAGTGGCAGGAAAATATCTATTTATGACTATATATAATCTATACATATATAACTATATATATAGTATATATAGTTATATATATATATATAGTTATATATATATATATAGTTTTATATATATATATATAGTTATATATATAGTTATATAGTTATATATATAGATATGCTATACCGTGTAATGACCAGGTGAGGTGGTTTCAGTATAGTTACTGTGCAAGTAGAGCCTTCACAAAGACAACCACATTTTAATCACATGTTAAAATATAGTAAAATACTATAAAATACTTAAAGTATTTTAGGAAGGAAGAACATTGTATTCCAATTAATTATATTCCTTCAGTGACTCTTATGTCACTGAAGGAATATAACTGAAGGAATTGTGTGAAGCTCTTGTTGAATTGGCAAAAAAAATCAGTCAAATAAATCATGACTAACCACTGCAGATTCATTTTACAGTTTCACAAGGCTGGGAAGCAAGGTGAAACTGTACGCAGCAGATCTCTGGAGTCACTCACCATTCTGAACACTGCTCCCATTCATAAGAGAGCAAGTACCGGCCAGAAACACAAGATGCATTCTGCGTAGCTTCAATAAAGGGCATCTGTTTCGTCATCTTCAGTCTGCACCAGCAGGCAATGGCCATGTTACTCAAGCTGCTGATATATAGATGTAGTCATCTTTTGCAAATGGTTCCTTGGATGCCCCCCCCCCCCCCCCCCCCCCAAAAAAAAAATACAAGAAGCTCTTGGTAATATTTGTACACTAAGATGAACTTCAACTTTTTAGAGTTTGCAGTGTTTACTCTTGTGTGTGTAATGCATAACCTGAGGCTGACGGAATACATTTGTTTAAATGTGCATGCGTGACTGTGTGTGTGTTTGTTCATCAAAAACATGTGAATCAGTGCTGATGTGTGTGTTGGTGTATTTGTAAGTGTGTACTCATAACTACCCGCCCCCCCCCCCCCCCCACACACACACACACACACCCACATGGAGACTGGCAGCTGAGCACGCTGTAGGATTACATCAGTGGCACGATTAGTTTTGCAACCTGACACAGGTCTTGCAGCTTCCTGTCTCTCCCCCCCCCCACCCCCCTCTTCTTCATCGTGCTCTCGCAGCAGAGGAGGAAGCAGTGTGTGGTGTCGATTAGGCAGCAAGGAAGCATCCCTCTTCCCTGAGCAGACACTCCTGCCTGCCATGCAAAGCACAGAGCAGCCACAGACTGATTAGGCAGCAGAGCAGTTAAAAAAAAAGGAGAAGTCAGCCTGACTGGCATGTTAAGTGAAGTCTCTTGGCATTCAAGTCAAAATAATTAGATCACTGTGAAATAAAGAATGCTGCTTAGGCATCAAGAGGATGTGTTACAGTTTTTTCAAAGCATCGCACAGCTTATGGCGCCAGGGTATTTACCCAGATTTTAGAAAATGTCACATAGATGGCTTAAAATGGTAGAAAACATATAAAATTAGCTAATTAATGTTGTATAATCTGTGTGACTCATTAGGACAGATGCTACAATTGTGATGTCAAATAAAAACCTTTCGAAATTTTAACGTTTGACTGTCTTACTTTTAGAGAAAATGACACCACGTGGTCTGTCCCCAATCCCATCTCCGGCCGTTGACCCAGAGGAGTTGCGTGCGAGGAAGATGAAGCGCAGGGCAAAAGTCATTCAGGAACTTGTTCAGACTGAAAAGGACTTCCTCACTGACCTGGAGCTGTGCATCAGAGAAGTGGTGCAGCCTCTGCGAAATCTCATGGTAGGTGCTTTTCACGATCCTCACTAAAATCTCTTGTAACCTTACCGCTGACAGATATCCATATACGCTCATTGGACGCTTTGTTAGGCACACCTGTTTAAGTCCTTGCTCAGGCATATAGCTAATCAGCCAATCAAATGGCAGGAATTCAGTGTGTTTAGACATGAGATATGGAGAATCAGAATAGAGAAGAAAAGTGATTTAAGAGACTTTGATTGTGGCGTGGTTGTTGGTGCCAGTAGCAGGCCTGGTCTGAGTAATTCAAAAACTGCTGATCTATTGGGATTTCCCCACACAACCATCTCTAGGGTTAACTTAGACTTGTCCCAAAAACAAAATATTTTCAGTGAACAGCAGTTTTGAGTAAATAACATGGCCAGAGAATGGCCAGTCTGCTCTCAGCTGACTGGAACGCATCGATAACTCACATAACCACTCATTACAACCAAGAAGAGCATCTCTGAATGCACAGCGCATTCAACCTTAGAGCAAATGGGCTGCAGCATCAGAAGACCACACTGGGTGTCAACTAAAACAATTTTCAATAGACGAAATGAGTGTCAATTTCTGCTGCGATATTCAGATGATAGAGTAAGAATTAGGTGTAAATAACATGAAAGCATGGATATATCCTGCATTGTTTCAGTGGTTCAGGTTGGTGGTTGTGATATCAGTGTGGGGGAAATACTTTGGCTCACTTTGGGCTCCTCCTTACTACCAGTTGAGCATTGTTTAAACACCACAACCTACCTCAGTGTCTACCAATTTATGACAACAGTGCATCCATCTTATGATCATTGTCATGTCATTATGAATGTTTCCAGCACCTTGTAGAATCTACGCCAAAAAGAATAAAACACATTATTAAGGCTAAAGGGGATATTAGCAAGGTATACCGAAAAACCTGTCTGGTGTATGTGACAACAACAATGAAAATCAGTGCCAATGTAAACCTCAGTTCAAATTTTTAAACTATACGCTGAGCATTTAATAGAAGGTCATGAATCTCTGCTTAAATGTCAAAACAAAGCAAAGCCTGGTCATTTAAATAACATCAACCTTTGGTTTAACAATACTCAGTTTAACTGACGTGTGGGTAGAAAATGCACTTGTACATTTTGAGTCTGCTGGGTTGCAGGTTGTGGATGTGGATCGACTGTTCACCAACATGGAGACGGTGTGTGAGGTCTCTGCAGCACTCCTTCACAGACTGCACGAGGCCATGGCTGACCCTGATCCAGAAGCCGTTGTCATAGGTAACGCTAGTCTAGTTTCTGAGTGACTGACAAGCTGTCTGACTGAAGCAGTTTTGTCTTTGGCGATTGTTGCTGGTCACATCAGTAGTAAATGAAACATGTTGTCTCCCATTTTAATTTAAAGGAGACGTATTTATCCAGGCAAAGGCAGCTTTAGAAGATGTATTTAAGATTTACTGTTACCATCATGATGAGGCTAACGCATCCCTCAAATCCTATGAGAAAGATGAAGAAATCAAGCAACATTTTACCACATGTGTATTAGCACTGAAGTAAGTTAAGCCACTTTCTCTAAACGATTTTCACCTTTATTATTTTTTTTATGTTTATTATTATGTATTCCAAAAATTATCCTTTTCTGTTTGTAATCTTCTTTCTTTTCCTTTCAGGAAAATCTATGATAAAGAGTAAGTGTAGTTACTGGCAAAATTTTTGCACTATGTATTTTTTGTTATTACGTTAGCTTTGATAGCTGATTATTGGCTATTATGCACATTTGCACAGAGGGAAACCTAATTTGTTGGATATGGGTTCACTGCTCATCAAACCCGTTCAGAGGATCATGAAGTACCCATTGCTTCTTGGGGAGCTGTGGCACGCCACGCCTGAAGACCACACCGACTATCAGCCGACGCAGGAGGCATTCACAGCTGCCAAGATCATAAATATTAACATCAATGAATTTAAAAGACGCAAGGACATAGGTGAGATTTCATTCACACTGACATACGTGAGGCAATTTTTATTCATAATGTCTGTTTGTAAAAAAATGCATCTATATGAACGGCTTTAGCAAAACTGCAGATTTATTTTGTGTATGTGTGTTTTATACACGATCCATACCAAATATATCTATACCAAATCTGATCAGACCTGTTCCCTGGCTTTTTGTTGATTCTCAGTTATGAAGTACAAGAGGTTGGAGGATGACGGCACACTGAGGGGAAAATTAAACAAGTTTAACATCCACTCCATCAGGAAGAAGGGAGACAGGTTTGCCGGTTATCTCAAAATCCTCGCGGGTGCTGATACACAGGTAAAACAAAGTGACAGCAAACTTTTTCCAGTTCATTCTCCACTCTTTATAGCTAATATGAGCTATACAGAAGAATAATTGGCTATTAGTATGTTTATGTGTAAGTGATGTGTTATTTCCGTAGGTGAGAGATGAAGTGTTTGACAGAGAGGAGAAGCTTTTCAGGAGTTTAGAGAAAGCTGCGAGGCAACTGGTCAAAAACGTTCAATGTTACCTGCAGTACACTCAGGTAAGTACATGTTTGACCATTTTCTTTTACAAAATATGCATAATATATAATTTGGCTTATTTTAAGGTTTGTTTTTCCATGTTTCCTGCAGGAGATGGTGTCTGTAGCTGTTCAGAGTGTGCAGGATGTGAAGAACATAGTCAAGGATTCAAACAAAAATGATGGCAATGGTTTGGTCCACGACAATGGCTATGATCCCTATAAGGTCTTTGTAAGTGTGCTATTTGTTGTCCTTCAGTGCAAAAATGTTTCCAGTTTGCTTTTATATTTGTATCACTGCATGATATTCTGTGCCAGTGTCAAAGTACACTCTTCATCTCCACTTTGAGAAAACTGCTGGGCCTCAAAGATGCGTCATAGAAAAAGATTTTGCAAAAAGATCTCTCTCTTTTTATTTTTAAGGAGATGCTCACAAAACAAAACTGTTTATATGTACAAATTAAATAAGTATGTTATGAGCTACACAAACTAATCTTCATTTCTTTCCTTTTGCCATGTTTTTCCCCCAGAGAGACAATTTGGAGCACTTGGTGCTCACCCCCCTCTCCTCTCTGCACGGCATGTTCACAGCCCCTCAGAAGCTCATCCAAAAACGCTATGACAAATTACTAGATTACTGCAGTCGCCTGGAGCGCTCTTCCTCTTTTTCATCCTCTTCTTCCACCACTTCTTCCTCTCTTTCACCGGCATCAGAAGACCCACCAGGTCCAGCCAAGAGAGACTACGAAGCTCTCAATGCTTTGCTAGTGGAAGAACTGCAGAGGTTCAACACAGCTGCATACACTATCCTGACTAACAGTGTGGTGTTTCTAGTGGCGCTACTTAGAGGGCTGATGAATAATGCACTGATGGGTGCTCCATCAGTGCACCAGCTACCAGTAAGGATACATCTACAAATATCCCATTTGGAAGACTTTAAAGGTTTTTTTTTTAAATAAAAGAACAATAAAGCTAACCTGTGTTATGTTTGCCTTTTCAGCCTCCGCTGTCAAACATTGCTGAGGTCCAGAACAGCATCATGGATGAGCTGAATAATCTGACTTTTGTCAAGGACAATGCACAGAAGTTAATGGAGCGAAAAGTCAGCTTTGAAAAACGAGACAGGAAAACTGCGGTAAGAAAGCTGAACAGACTAATCTCACCTTTACGTAAAGCCTCAAGTGTGTGATTTTAAAACCTCTGGTCTGAGGATTTTTCCATTCGTCACTGATCACAGGTTAAAACAAATGTGCCACATAGTCTTCAGTTTTGAGAAAATTCAAAAAGACCTTTGTTTTTCCAAACTCTGACAAAATCAGTCGCAAGGCATAAATGCTCAGTTATACGCATCACAGATCCCAGGCTATGATGAAGCTAAGTACTTGATTCAGGAGACAGGCATCAGTCTCATTTGCAGGATTTTGCAAGTGTGTTGACCCAACCATCATTTCTCTATAATTTGCTTCAGAAGACCAGACTTTCTTCTTTTTAAAGTGCTCTTGAGCAAAAGTTCTCCAGGCTTCTTACGGTCTTTCAAAGGTTTTCTTTGGGCATTGGCTGCTTTTTCCCTTTTTCCCTGCTATTTCAATTTGAGTGTAGTTCTTGTACCTGATCTTTTATTTTTTGCATGTTTACTCAGCAAAGACTGAACTTTGCATCATTCAAGCATAAAAAACAAAACAAGTAAAAGGATGCACCAGCGTTGTGTCTGTTACCAGATCTAAATGTTATGTTTTGGCACTTTTTTATTAGCAGCCTTTCACAAAAACACATCATTAGTTCCCATTTCTTTAGCCAACTCTATGAAATTGTCAAATGTAGCACAGTTTTACAGGCATAAAATGGTATTTTTGCACCAACAAGGTGATTTCCAAAAACTATTAGCCCAAAACTTGGCATATCTTGGGATGGTGTGCACTGTATCCCCAAAAACTTGAGGAAATTAAACAAATAGAATACAATAGAAGAAGTGACAGGACTAAAAAACTAAGTCAGTGAAAGTCATGTCCTTAAGAAATGGATGCCAAGAAGCCATTCTTACAGAAGGGAAACAGGGAAAAAAGGCTGAGGTATTCTAAATTACATAAGAATTGGGCTGAAAATCTGTAACAATTAGTCTTATTGGGGGAAGTATCCAAATTTTACAATACGTACAGAGGAGGTCATGAGAGAGATACAGCCATCAGTAAAACACTGTGGAGGCTCAAGACTTTTGCACAGTACTGTATATTGGCATGCTCATTGGTCTGCATACGCATATACACTAAAACATCTGCACCTATATTAGAAGGCTCTTTTTCTTGAGCACGTGAATAGATGTGTTTGAACGTCCTAGCTCCAGGATCATATTACCATTCACCCTCCCTAGATTACCCTTGTGTACTGTTACCTAACACTCCTACGTAAACCTGCACACCACATACCCGCTTCAAATATTTACAGCAACACTTCTTTGTGTTGTGCTGTCCTTCAGGTGCCGGAGGTGCAGCATCAGACCGAGGAACAGCGTGCCTGGCTGCTGGCAGAATACCCAGTGAACCGACTGTACCAGCTGAAGAGGAAGTGCAATGGCTGCCAGGAGCAGGACCTGAGCCTGCTGGAGGGAGAGCTGGTAGCTCTGATTGAGGACACAGATCCGATGGGCAGCAGCAGCCGCTGGCTGGTACACACTGGAGGCAAGTGTGTGTGTGTGCGCGTGTAGTACTGTTAGTAAGACACACACCGTGGATTAAGTTATCACACTGGATCATCTGCAAGTATGGGTGCCACAGGTTTTATCTAATGCATTTTTCTCTGTGAAAACACTCACACCAAACTTTACTTTCTGGCCTTGATAAGTCAGCAGATGAGAATTTGTCCCAGGAGCTCCTGTGATGTCATGGTTGCTGGTTGCCTCTGGAGATCGTTGCCTCACAACAATGCCGGCTCCATAGCTTGTCTCTATCTCTGCTTTGCGTCTCATAGAGGCACCTGAGATCCCAGCATCTTGCTTGGAACAAACTGCTGTACGCAGTTGTATGCAGTGTTACTTAGAGTACAAAGACTTTTCCCCTGGGGATTCAGAGACAAGGATGAAGAGATATCACTGGTGCTCATCTTTGTACTCTGAAATAACAAGTTCTTTTTTAAGAACACTAGAAAAAAATAGTGTGTGTATGTTTCTTGGCGTAAAGTACATTCTTCACAGGCTTGTCTTTTCCTCAGGGATAACAAGCATTCCCAGGAAGTTGTTGTTCTTCCTTCTGTTGATATCAACACTATGAATATGCGGGCCTCATATTTACACACTCTTCAGTAACTCACTGGAACTGGATTCGAGACTTGTGTAAGCAAGTGCTCTGTGGCCTCTGGATGAAGCCCCTTAACACTCACTGTCATACATCTCTAAGATTGCTGCTTTGATCCCATTGTGATTTGAATGGATTATTTTCTTGTGCCAATCAAAAAATATGAATGAAAGACAAATGAAAAAAATAACAGTGGCTTTAAAAGATTAAGTTTCTGGCAGAAGATGCCATATTGATATTTTTCTATAACATCCATAATAATCTGCAGGGCTACATTTAAAGAGAGATTAAGCTTTTTTTTTAAGCTTTAATTAAAAAAAAAAAAAAAAAAAAAAAAAAAAAAGAAGCTTAATTTTAGTGAACCTGACAAACTATCTCTGTGTCCCTTGTCAGGTATGCAAGGCTATGTCTACTCCACCTTCCTGAAGCAGTACAACCCTCTGAGGGACTCGCAGCGGGCAGGCCAGATGGCCAAAGAGCAGCCCCAGCAGCAGCCACCTGCTACGGTGGATGAGGACTTTGATGACCTGAGTCTGTTCGTGTCAGGAAGCGGCAGCAGCAGCCTGCGCAGCTTCAAGCTCAGCGCCACTGACAGTTGCTCAATTCTCTCGGGCCTGCAGGGGGAGCTGGAGAGCACTGAGGACACGGAGGACACAGTGGACTCGGAGGCTCAGCAGGTGTGTGTGGTGGTCTGCCAGCTGATCAGTACTGCTCTCACAGTGTCATATTAACATATCGCACTACTTAGCTCCATAGAGGATAACCTAACAGTTAAGGTCAGAGTGGCTGTATACACTGAAGTTAGAGAAAAAAAAAGAAGAAGAAGAAGAAGAAGAAGACTGAAATTCAAGGTCAGAAATAAAACAACAACAACAAAAACAAAACACACATCACATAGACCTTAAAAAACTGATAAAAAAAAAAAAAAAAAAGGCTCAGCCAATAATAACTTTAATGGTTTACCCGAGCCACAGCTGTGAATTATGGGTTATTGCAGCGCGTAGGTAAACGAGGTCCGCAGGTATATAGACTCGATCAGCAGAAGATGAGTCACTCTAAAATCACGTCTAATGGCTTCACCCTGTCTGCTGACATTAAATTTAATTGTTTTTAAAATAGCATTACATGGTGAGATTGCTGTCACTCAGCAGCACTCGTAGGGTTCGTCCTTGGGGCCTTTGACTGAAATACATCTCTGATCATCATCGAGTTAAAAGGTCTTGAAATACATAAAAGATTATAAATAAAAACTGACATAGGTTAATGGATCGCAGCGAGTGAGAATCAGTATTGGTGTTACTGCTGTGTTTTGCCAGGAAGCTTAACACTGCCACCTTCTGGATTAACAGGAGTGCCTACATATTCCTTCATGATGCCTTTTGTTTTAAGTTTTTGGATTGAATCTTAGCTTTTTGCTTTTAACACATTTTAAAAGCGATAATTGCATCTGCCTTTGCTCACACCTAAACTGGGTCTGTTTCCACAGTATTACGCCGTGTATGCATTTCAAGCCCGATGCGAACAGGAACTGACCCTGCAGGAGCACCAGCACGTTCGCATCCTTCAATTCTGTGACCTGGGAGGTAACAAGGAGTGGTGGTTGGCTGAGGCTAACGGACAAAAAGGATACGTCCCGGCCAACTACCTCGGCAGGATGTCCTACGCCTAAAACACCCAATTCTGAGCATCAGTTTACCGTTTTAACAAAATGTAATTGAACCAAGCTACATTTCTGCTTGGCGAGCATCCCAACAGATATTATTATCATACCATAGTGTTGATGTTGAACCTGCTTGGCCTTCAGAAGATAACAAGAGAGCTCACTAATGGAGCTTGACCAGTGATCTGTGATGAATGTGGAGAATTATAAAAGCACAGGGCACTGTGCTGAGCACTTTTTATACTTCAGTGTTGTCGAGTTCATATGAATAATGAAGTGATTTATTAATGAAGTAAATTTTTATATATAAAAATATGACGTGATTTATAGATAGAGTATATGTTTTATGTGAAATGATTTATATGAAGTTTTATTCACCGTTTGCCCTGAAATGAAGAAATACGTTCAAAGTCGTTGATAACGTTATGAATAAAAACTGCCTCTGTGGTTATTGCTGTTCTGGTTTATTCTCCATTCTCTATTTCTCCCAATAAAACTGAATGACTGAATTGAGACAGTCACAATAAAGTCAAAGCTACTGCGAGTATGTAAGAACAGGATATTTAATGACACTAACTGATAAAAAGTGACATGACACTTTTTTCACTGGTTAGATTTGTAAGGACAGGATGAGGCACACGAGTCTAGCAGCATTTAAACAAAGTGAAATTCAAGTATTTAACTCAATGGTGTTACTTGATGTACAACTGCTCTTGAAATAGAAACGTAATGCTCTGGCACTCAATCGGCCCTCTTTGAACATTTATTTTCCCCTTTCCTCACAACTCTTCCTCCTTTCACTCAGTCCTCACTCACTTCTTCAGTTTCTTCTGCGCTGCTTTCTTCTTCACCATTTGTAACCGCTTCATGGCGTTAAGCTGGGACTCTTGGGTTGTAGGTAGTTTGTCCCCAGGTGCAGCCTTTGACCCATTCCCATTGTTTCCATTACCTCCTCCGTTACTGCCTCCATTGCCTCCAGTCTGGGAGCTGTTAGGAGAGCCGGCCCCTGACGAAGAGCTGCCTTTGCTTTGGCCTTCACCGCTCGATGACCTATTCAATGGCTGCTTACCCAGAGTCAGAGGTGGAGGCGGTTTCAGGTTTGCCTGACTGGAGCCGTTTCCATTGCTGCTCCCAGATATCTTTGCACTCCCAAGCCCCGACTTTCCTCCAGCTAGCCCAGATAACCCAACAGGCTTTTGTCCAGAAGGAGTTGTCAAGGTCTTGCTGCTCCCACTTGGGCCTGAGGAACCTAGTTTGGAGCTAGCAGGAAGAGATGGGCTCGTTTTGGCGCCAAATGCAGCCCAGCCGGTGAGACCGCTGCCCGAGGAGGAGGAGCTGCTGCTGGTGGGATTGGCTGAAGTGGCTGGTGGCTGCAAGGGAAAAGGTTACTGTCATTATTAGAGTGTAATACTGACTAATAACAAACTACTAACTACTTGGATTTTCTTTTTATCTCTTTCATATCTCTCAAGATATGAAGGATCATTCCTTTGTTTTATTATCATTTATGTTTTATTATTTGAGAACAAGTCCCTGTTGCTCCCACTTGGGCCTGAAGAACCTAGTTTGGAGCTTTAGTTTTCAAAAAACCCATTTGTCCTTCAGTGGCCACCATAGCTAAGATTATGCACTTGAATTAGGAGGGTTAGGAAAACAGTATTCAGCTGAATACAATCCACTGATATCTAGTGGTGAGATTTTACATAATGTACCTTTAAGTCTGAGGCCCTACATTTTTAACTGATGCTTTTGTACAGGACTTGAAGGCTTCATTGTCTAATAGATGTGCTTGGGTCACCCCTATTCTTGTCACATCAATGCACCTTTGGCCCAATTCAGGAAGAGCTTCTCTGTTAAAAAAAAACAAACTAGTTGCCCAAATGCATGCAGGGTTGTGTTTATGGTTCCCAACAGTCAGAGCTGACTGATTATTGTGAATAGTCCTGTGCCTCAAAATACAAATTTGGGGAAGAAGTCACAATGCCTTTATCTGACTAACTCCAAAAGACCATTCATCTATCTAGGACACCCAAGGCTTTAAAAAGGGACCAACAGTTTGGTAACAATGACATGACAGGAGCTTGTGCTATTTGACTGCTGGCGGCAGAGCTGACCACCAGACAAGTTGGCAGAGCAATGAACCCTGATTGCAACTCAATGAAAACACTGGGAGTTGAGTGACAGAGAGGTCACCTCTTTAGACCGAAGAAGTCACTTGGATGGGTGACAGAAACGTTTCTCCTACTGAAAACCAGATGAACAGAATCAACTTCCTGGGTGATCTTTTAACTGCTCCCAAAATCTGATCCAAGTACGCTTGAGGTGCTTTCAATTATTGTGGTCCTAATCTTGGGAACAAGCAGCCTGCTGACTCAAGTTCAATTACATCTGTGTGCAGATTCAAAAACGGACTCAAAGCCTTTCTCTGCACACAGGCCTACAGTTAATATGCGTTATTCTGTTTTTGGTTCTCTTAAGCATTTTTCACTGATTTATGGTGTTAAGTCTTCTTTTTCTGTATTAAACACACTGAGCTTTAATATAATGAAATGTACTATATAAATAAAATTGTTGTTGTCACTGGTGCGTTAGTAAATTTATTACCAATAATCTCTGCAGGCACTTTTTGTGGGTTTCAACCTTCTTGTACTCAATTATAATGTGACTGCACATATATTAAAGAAGTTTGCTGGAGGCAGAAGGTGAACAGATGATTACAAAAATGAAAATGACCTATAAATGCAAGAAAAGGTTCTTTGCATCAGTCTGTGAACTGCAAAGCAGAAGCATCAAATTACCAGCCTCTGCTTTGTTACGGCATCTGATTAAAAATAAAAGCCTATAAGCAGGAAAAAAAACAACAACATACAGCGCAGTTGCAGTTTCTTAAATATCAAGTAAAAATGTGATTCCTCAGCTACTCGCGCCGCGTCCTGCTTGCCTGAGCAATACTTTTGCTGCAAACTATGAAAACTCTTACACCTCACGGTAGAAGTATTAACATAATCAAATCTGTGACTACAGGGTATCATGTTTGCTATCAAAATAACTTTTTGGTGAACTCCATTAAGTGAAAGCGCTCTGAAAAGTTTTAAACCCATTCCCTCTGGAGAAATGGCACCGTGCTGGGACGCTGATCCTTGAAAATAAGTTTACACTTTCTGCTCATTTTCCTCTGCGGGGATTTATGCAGACTTCCTTTCACAGCAGCTTTGCACTCTGACTGCAACTGCTGTTCTCTCCCTTGCAGTCCCAAGTAATTTACGGATGTGAAATCATAACTTTTGCTTGTCTGAGAAGGAGGAGAACGTGAGATGACACAAAGGCTGTGTATAAACATTCACATTAACAATGCACGTCGATGGACGCCATAACGAGTTAACACATACCTTCACTTCTGTTCTTTTGAAAGCTTGGAAGGTGCTGGCTGTGTCAGTTTTGGGTTTAAGCTCCGTCTTTTTCACTAGTGTGTCTTTTACAACAGGTGCTGAAGATGCAGACGCAGGGGACGGCTTCTGTGGAGGTTTCTGGGCCTTGTGGACAAAAACAAACAAACAACTTTTCACTTACGGTAAAAACAAACCAAGCTCGCTGAATCCAAATACAAAGCTGATACTGGAAGATAAATTATTTTCCTCACCATACGCTTCATTTGCCTGGTACATCGGGCGCAGTACCACACAAGCCGTGGGTCATTGACTTCTTTGTCGGTCACCTGGGGCTTGTGGCAGTCCTGGTGGTACAGGTTATGGCATTCTTGGCACTCGACCAGCTGGTTCCCCATGGTCACGGTCATTTGTCTTAAGGAATAAAAACAGCAGGAAAGTAAAGACATATGGCAGGGACACATAATTAATTTGCTAACACATTTACCTGTTTAGGTTGACGATGGAGTAAAATGAATCTCAATGATTAAAAGTGGAAAAAGTTCCAAGTACAATTTTTTTTTCATATGCTATAATCCTACTGGATTTCTGATATGCTGTTGTTTTAATTAGCATTTATTCTATTTATCTATTTTGTATGTGGATTTTTTTAGGTTGGTATCTGTTGTGGACAGGAAAAGCAAGAATTTCATTGGCTCACTTTGGGACAGAAAAAACATGTTTCTTTACTCGGCATATGATAATAAAAGGTTAAAAAAAAATAAAACTTGGGACAGCAACTCAAAAATTTACCATATCTACAAATATTCAACATGTACCTGCAAACCACACAAGCCAGGCCCATTTCCATGGCGAAGTCATCGGCGCTGGTCTCATCATCATTTATGTTTGGCAGCAGGTCTTTGCTCGTCTGCACAGTGATCGGAGAAGAGCGATTCTCCTGTTTCTCCAAACGAGGCTTTTTCGGGGGGTCCACCTCACCCAAGTCAACCCTGATCTATTTTTTCAGGAAGACAGAAAGAGCACATTTTAGACATGGCATGTTGGCATCACTGGCAAACATTTTCAAACTGCATCTACTTCACTGTAACACTAGTACTCTTCTATGTAATAGTACATACGTATGCTTCTCAGATTTGCAGGAAATTTCTGAACTCAAATTTATTTAACATGTAAGCAGCTCTGACCTACTCTGAGCTGGTTCTCTACCTTGATTGATTGATTGATTGATTACTCCTCCACTTTTCACCATAAAAAAAGGTTCATTGTTTTACTAAAATATCTATTCATTCCTTTTTTCCCCCTCAGTATAAGGAGAGAAGCTCCCTTTGATTTGCCCGCTACAGCCATGCACTGAACTAAAAATAAATTTAAAAAGACCTGGTAGCCTGTCTGGCCTGAGAGTACACGTGCTTAAGGTCCAAAACAAATACTTATTCACAGGAGCCAAACAGGACTAGGACACAGCCGACTAAAGAAAGATTCATGTTAGGCATCTGGCATGCTGCTAAGCTGGAGTGAGAGCAGCTATTTGACTTGGCCTGTCACGACTTATTGATCTCTCCATCCTGAAAAGCTCTTTAGCCGTTTAGCTGCACGTTTACGACCCTCAGAGAATATCAAAAGTGTCTGCAAAATGATTAAATAATGTTAAATATGAAGAAAAGACTGCTTAAATCGCAGAGTGTTCTTGACTTACTTATGTTTTCCCTTCTTTTCTTTCTTTTTTCACTACTTCACCTTACAAGAAGGATTGTATGGTCCAACGCAACACCTTTTGCGTTGGACTACCAGGTTGTTGAGATTTTCTAGTAGTTTTGCAAAATTCACACAGTACCTTCTCAGATGGTCTCTTCTCACTGTCTTTCTTGCTCTTCTCAGGTTTACTACTTCCACTGCTGCTACTTGAAGATGAAGAACTTGAAGACTTGGAGTCTTGCTTACTTAAAGTCATTTTTGACACAGTCCCCTTTGATACCTCTATGTCCTGAGGACACATGACAATAATAATAATGATGATAATAATAATAATAATAATAATAATAACTTTTAGTTTGAGAAAGGGAAATTAAGGTTTAACAACAATGAGATACAGCATAAAGAGACTGTATAAATATGTACGTCTCCAGTTTCTTACTTTTTGTAATGAACGGTATGATGAGTCACTTCCTCTTGCAAGGGATTCATCAAGGAGAGCTTTCAGTTTCTCAGCTGAGTCTTTACTTTTGGAGTGTAAATAACTCAGTGCCTTTAGAAAGATGGGATCCAACTCCAAACTGACAGGTCCAGCCATGATGGAAACTGAGGATCAGAAAATACAGTTTTTCGGGCTTCGGGGAACAAATAACATCCCTCTACTGAGTAAATCATGTGCAGTTAAACAAGTTTAGTTAAACTAAGGACAACAAAGGATAGTAAGAGCAAAAAAATTGTTGGTTTTTCCCCCCCATTTATTAGGGAAAAAGGCTATCCAAATTGATCTGACCCCATGTGAAAAAGCAGTTGCCACCAGATTACTGTCAGACACGTTAAATCAAGAAATCCCTTAAATAGAACCTGTTTAACAAAGTGAAGTAGGCTAAAACAATCAGCCCCAGACTGCAATCTAAAGAAAGTGACAAAAAGCAGAGAAACAAAGTCAAAGACATTTATCAATCTGGAAAGGGTCACAAAGCCAATTCTAAGGCATTGGGACTCTAGTGAACCACTGCGAGAGCCACTCCCAGGAGTGACCGACCTACCAAAATCATCCAGGTCACAAAAGAACCCAAAACGACAACTAAAGAACAGCAGGTCTCACTTGCCTCAGTTAAGGTCAGAGTTAATGATTCAACAATAAGATATTTATATTTATTTATGTTATCGTTAAAATTTGTTTCTTGAACAGAAACTTAAGTGCTAAAAATGTGAACAATTCAGGAAGGGGGCAAATACCTTTTCACAACACTTTAAGTAACATGTTCTTTAAATTCCTTGAAACATCATGCATCTATTTCTGGTGCTCTTAACATTAATTATGCATAAGTCAATATTTTAGTAAGACTTAAATATTTAGTGAAAACTGTTTCCCATGAGTAAAAGCTCTGTCACAATAAACATCTTTATTACTAAACGAAGGGCACTTGAAGGGGAGACGACAGATCTCCGGGAAAACTAGGATTAATGGTGCGTTCCAGATTAAGTCGAAAATCTGAATTTCCTTGTTCCCAGTCAATCTGTTGATTCCAGTTAATCTGGAACATCTCCTCAACTCAGGTTCCCCACTCGGAACAGACCCATCAACCCCGAGTTAACTATCCAAGATGGCGGCAGTGAACGTAAAGAGCAGTAAAACTGTAAAATGTATAATCTGTACTGTCACTTTTGTGTATTTATGATTCGCTAAATAAGCCATGCAGAGAGCACTGGTCAGATTCTACCCATGAATGTGCTGCGACGGTCATTTTAAGATTATAAAACAAATACGATGCTGTACTGCTAGTAATAGCTAAACGGCTTTACCTTGCTAAGAACCAAAATAAATCATATTTTGCGCTTTTTTTTTTTACCATTTTTGTTAGCACCGACTTCCAAGGTAATTGACATGCGTTTGTGTTTTGTGATACGTCATGTGCTTTTTTTTTTCTGTGGGTTAAAACAAATATTTATTATTATCTTCCTTCTCACGTTTGTAGATTGAGTCCCAAATGTCTCAATTCCGTCTGTCGGGTGTAATATTTAAAAGTTCACACAAATAAAAAAAAAAGAGTAACTGCTGCGTAACGTATTCAGTCCGGACTAGCAGCAACACAAGGGACCATAATAGCACCACAACGGTAAAAGTTCTCGTTACTCGAAGCTGTCAGTTGGAAATTAGGATTTACGAATGAAATCGTTAAACTGGAATACCTTACCTCACACTCTGCTTCTCGTAAGCTTGTCTCTCCTCAATCCGGTCTTTTCGATTTCATGGGGAAACTGACGGCAGAACAACACTTCCTACAAAGAAGCCGTTTCCTCTAACCTGTGCAACACTCAAATATGTCCGCAAGATATAAGCGCGGAACCTTATGAAGCAACTTGTGTTACTCCAGAATATTTCACATTACGGCTTCTTCGTTGAATAGTTAATTTTTTTTTTAAAGAACCAGTTTTATGGAGCGGGCATATAATATATTATACAGTTTTACATGTATTTTTCCAGTGACACATCGTGTGTTGTTTATTCGTAAGTAGAAAACAGGTGAAGCTGTGGTAGCTTTAGCACAGGGGAAGAAGAAGAAGCAGCCCACACCATAACAACAACGTGGTTTTATAGAAGCTACTGCTGCTGTAAGTATCACTCATAGTGACATTTAACGTGTTAGATACAGCTGTTTTTCCATTTACAAACCCCACCTCGGAACATCTTACCGAGGATACTTTTTAAACCTTCACATGTGTTTCACCCCGCAGTGCTGACTTTATTTACAATGAAGCAACAGCCCGAAAACCAGCAGCAGCCCTCTCTCTATTTAGAAGTTTGCTTTCAAAACGAGGAGCCGCGCCTTCCCCTGCACACCTCCATCGTCCTGTTCCTCCTTTCTTACTGCGAGTGCAAGTTTTTTAAAGTTTACCTGGTCTTCAAGAAACCCAGCAGCTCCGAGTCTCTGAGAAGTCAGCTGCCAGAGCATCTGGACTCCTCTGATGTTCAGTCAGAGGCTCTGCCTCAGCTGGTGAGGGACTGTCGCCTCCCTGCTGTTTTGGATGAGACTGGGCAGCTCTGCAGGGCAGGACTGGCAGTGGTCCTTAGACATATTATCAACAAAACCATCGAGGCTGACCCCTCCAGAAATGATGTACTGGCTCTGCTGGGTTTCAAGAAGACTTGTCTGAAAGCCTGCGCTGAGGTTAGTGGAAAAAAGGGAAGCAAACTACAAAAATGCACAAAAGAAAATAAACAAGTGATAAGGTTGAAAAAAAAAAATCTGGTAATTCTTTGTTTTTACATTCATCGGGCCCCAATATGCCCAAATATCAAAAAGAAATTAAAAATGCATGTTGTGGAAGAGTTCGGGTTTTAGGAGGTTAACTATGTCTAAAAGTAAGCACACAGTTACAAATCAGTTATAGTTAGCTGAAACCAAAGTATCCTTAGGCAAGAAATTGAACCCCAAGTTACTCTCCCGATGCAGTAATTGGAATATGAATGTGTGTGAATGTTAGATAGAAAGCACTTTGGTAGAGAACGCATTGAAAAAAAGACCTTGTGTGAATGACTGAATGAGGCATGCTTTTTAAAGTGCTTTGATTGACCATTTAGGGACTTCAGGAACAAACTGAAAGCTGTTGTGAAGCAGTGTAATGCTCTCTCCATAAGTAATGATTTGCTGAAATCAAAAAGAACCATTAAATCTTTGAATGAAAGGAAAACCGAACCAACTTAATGCGAACAAAACCCCAAAACTCAGTCATTACAAAAAGTGACGGTTAACAAAAAATAAAGACCATCTGCAAATCTACAAAATCAAGTAAACCAAATAAATGCAAAATCTTAGAGATCACCATTAGAAATCACACAATTAACAACTTTTAAAAAGTATTATAAGTAAATAATGAACTAATTCTTAGTTTGCTTTAAAGTTTGCATGGTTTCAGATCTAGGAAAGCTCTTATACCTCACAACTTTGACTGTCTATTGTTCCCCATCAGGGTCCCAGAAGGTTATTTATAATAGATTTGAGCAAATGGTGGTTCCCAGTTGGCTAATGAAATTTAAAGCACTCTGTGGTAAACTAGATGTATTTCACATATACACATATTCCACTTGTGATCCTTTCACTCTTCAATCCAAAAGGGAACAACGACAAAAGGAACTGCCAAAAAGTCAAAAACTGGAAAAAAACAAATTCTGACACCAAAACTTTTTTTCCCCTTTTTTTTGTTTTGGAAATATGTAGCAAAGTTATGTTTTTTGTGTTTTAAATTACAAATAAATATCTGACAACTGCACAAGTTGTGCACAGTGCTATGATAAGGACTTGTATTTCAGCCTTTTTATTTTGAGTGCATTTACGGACAGACCTCAAACACCATGTTTTCCTCACTCTTAGGTGAGCCGGTGGACTAGATTGTGTGAAATTGAAATCCCCTCTGCTGTTGAAGAACATCTCCAGAATCCTGCAAATGATGATCAACAGGTGCCCCTCTCCATTCTCACTCTTGAGCGAAGGCTCGCGGAGCCTGTCAGAGTCCACAACGATGACAAAATACGAAGGCGGAAACTCCAGGAGCAGAGACGTGAAGAGTCTGCTGAAAGCCAAGAGAACCTGGACTCCGAGTCTGAGCCTGGACAGTCGTCTCAGGCCTGTGATGGACTTGAGCTTAGAGCAGCTTTGGCCAAACTGTCTGTGGATTCAGTACCAGCTTTAGCCACCAGAGAGAACTCTGAGATCAGGAAAGTGAAGACAGCAGATTTGCCTCCGTTGGAGCATGTGTTTGCCGAGGGACTGTACTTCACTCTGACTGATGTGGTGCTGCTCCCGTGCATCTATCAGTATCTGGTAAGGGCTTTTTGACATGTAATGAATTTTTGAGTGGTGTCAACAACCTCATTCTGATTGTTACTGTCTAATTAAGAATGGCACATACACATCAAAGCACAATTAATTTTATTAGCCCTTTTTTTTGTCAGTTTAAGCCTGTCGCTTTTATTTCACTGACACGCTTTCTTTACAAATGCTCTTTCAATAATACACCTGTTACACAAACAGTCAAGTGCTGATAGGAATGGCTTTGTCTCAGTGCATACAAAAATGGCGCTGATGTCAGACTGAATGCTTTCATGCAGACCGGAGCGTGCAGTTACATGAATTTGCTGGCTCTTTAATAGTTTTATTATGATGACTTGTCAAATTATGCATGATGTGTGGTTTTGACACTCTGGTCAGGGTGAACAGGTAGTACACCCAGTTCCCTTTTTTAAATCCAGCCAGGCAGAAACTTGGGTTAAGAAGACTCGCTGCATCAGACTTGGCACAGTTTTTGCTCTCAAAGGTGGTCTGGAGCCACCTGGCAAAGGCTGATAACACTGTACGGGGAGGGTTTTTATTCAAATGCAGCAGGTTGAAATACATTTTACTGACTTTACTTTGGGAACAGCTGACAGAGTTGGCAGGTTGTTATGTTGACCTAAAAAAACAAACTCCTAACTTGAAAATCTTTGAAGAATTTAGAAGCTCAAGTGCTCACTGAATATTCATTACGCCTCATTGTTTGTGATGAATTTGGTAGCAACTGCAGCGGCGAACCGAGAGCTGTAAAGTTCAGGCTTATGCTGTTATTGATCAGGAATGCTGCATTGTCTGGCAGTGGAGTGGGTCTCATTTCACCTTTCAGCTGTCTCCAGCTATTCCTCGACTGTGGGAAAGAACTGAAGTTCTCACAATGAGGCTTTTAGTAGTCAGCTGTGCCCCAGTGGTTTCCAGTTTCACATTCAGCCTAGCGTGTCTCCTCTTAACGGCCATCACTGTCCGCAACACACGCAGCCACAGTGAATCCTTTCCACTCCACCCTCTTGTCGTGCTGCGGAGTGCCCCTTCTGCCTCTGTGCACCACTCTGTGTCCAAACACACACACACACACTCTGTGCCCTGATGCTTTGTCTCAGATCATGTCTCTGTTTGTTTCTTCACCCTCTCCTCCTGCCAGCTCTGTTTTGATTTTTTTTTTTTTGCCAGTCTGTCGCACAAGTGTTCACCAGCGTGATGTGTGAATTCTGGTGGAACGTGGCATCTCGCTCCACTGGCAGTAACATGTCAGTCGAGTCACTTAATCAATATTTCCTTGTTGTTTTTCTCTTTCTCTTTCATCCTTTCATCCTTTTCTTGGTCTTTAATAGTGTTCCCTCCAAGCACGCGCTGCCGCCACTCTACATCATCTCCCCCACCTACTGCGCTGGTACGGCCGTGTCCAGGAGGTACCGGGGGTGCTTCGGGCAGCCAAGGCTTGTGGGCTACTTCTCTCCATACCCCAGGCTCCCACGTCTGGACTCCCAATTCTCTCAGCAGAGGACAACCCAACCAGTCTACCGGTGGAAGAGGAAGAAGGCCGGGAGATGGCCCCAGAGGTTCCTTTTGTCGGCGGCCCAAGGCCCACAATGACTAAACTCAAAGTAAATGATTACTTTCCTTTACTTAATCCCCAGCATGCTTTGCAGCTATATGTTAACCAAACATGTTTTGTTCCAACACTTCCATCCTGACCTAATATCAAGGGATCTGCCTCCCATTGTCCCCTAACAGCACAGATTCGCAGCCTCCAGAGTGGTTGTTAAGTATTATCCCTGTAATTTCATGCCTCCATTTTCTGTTGATTGCGCCTTCAAGAGTGTAGCTCTGAGTTAATGTTTCGGTTTCTGGCAGACTTTTGTAATTGTTGGATATTTAGTTTTTCTGCCAGATATTTAACAGTGATTGCTTTCACTCATAAAATTAACATTTTAAGTGGTCTTAAAAAAAAAAAGAAAGAAATTCAAAGCTGTTATCGATGCATATTATTTTGCTCTTGTAGACATTACAAAAAAACAAGCTTTTTTTTTTAAGACTAACAATCTGTTTATGAGAAAAAACACTGTATTTGCCTGGGGTGCTTTTTTTAAATGCACATTTCAGTATTCTCAGTGGATCCTGTTACCACTTGCAGGAGTGCAGACAGTGCACATTCAGCTTATCTTCATTTCAGGTGCAATAAAAACAGTGAATCTGGTCCAAAACAAAAATGTTATAGCTTTACTTAGTTTATAGTTATGGCTAAAAATCTACATGTGCACAGGAAGATACACGACCCAATGCAGGTCCCTTAGGAAGGATTGTCGAGAGACTTGCTCATTCGCACACGTTTATAGATTTCTTTGCTCCATATATTACCTCTGCAACAGCAGGAGATAAGCAGGCCCAGCTGTTTTAAAGGAGACTGTCTCCTCAACCCTGACTAACCTCTCGCCACTGAGCCCTCAGACTGTTTACTTGGCTTTTTTTGCTCTGCTCTCTTAGGAAAGATATTTCTGTGATTTCCTGCTGGCTACATTTCTATAACAATGTGAGCGAGGCGAGGAGAAAAAAAAACAAGAGGTTTGGAAAATTCTGATGAGGGTGAGTGAGCTGGGTGGTCAGGATGGGATGTGTCTTTTAGATGTGCTGTGTTGCCGGATGAAATTTAGTCAGGCCCACATGTGTGTAAATGACAGTTTTGCTGGCAGGTTAAAATCCGACATTAAAACCGAGAGGAATGCGTGAACACACACAGACAAACACACAATGGCCACCATTCTCTGCCTAGAGGGATTACAAGGATGGCTACATGTCGCCATCATCATGTCTGCAGTGCAGCTGTTGCGCTGGGTAATGTGCCTGTCTGTTTGCGTCTGTGTGCGCATATATGTCCTCTGTGTGTGTCCCACCAAGGTATAAACACACAGTCTGCCGTCTCACATGGTGACAGTCGATCCTTCACGGCGGCTAACCAGAGGCAGTGGGCTCATCTCGCAACACCATTCACATTACAAATGGCTCATAAACTCTGCCCCTTTATCACTCCAGTTAACACACACTCATGCATACTGTTCAAGCTCCCCATGCAGTGATCTGTGGAGCCCCAGCCTGTGATCTGTATCTATGGTAAACAAGCAGGCATCCCGACACCAGAAATTAAGACCCGGCATTATCACTGCCTAACAAAAGCTAACACAACTTGGATATCAAAAATAGAGTTTTTTTTTAAAAGGAGAATTACTGGGTTTGCAGGAAGGAAGTTAAGTCTTTGATTTTATGTCTGATGAATTGGGTTCATAGGGGAGCTGTTGTTCCAGAAACAGCGATTGAAGACAGTCTGTGTGTGTTCCCATGAAAAACTCCTCACTGAAATCAACGAGCATTATGGCAGGATAATAACGCAGTCTTGTATTATTACCTATTATTTGTCATTTGGGTTTAAAGTTTGACCAGACATCCTTGTTGCAGGTGAACTATCAAACTTAAGAATATGATTTAATAGAAGAAATAGAGCTTTAAACAGAATCACCTTTTCATATTCAAAATTATTAAAGTTTTAAGGTGCATGTTTCCTTAGTGTACTTTGAGGTACCTCAAACATATTTACCCAGTGACCAAAAATGACCTTATCAGCATTTGCACTACAAGTTTGTGTTACTGTGGAGAGTGAATATAATTGGTTTTGGCACAGACTTTTTGAGCTTGAGGTTTGCAGTGTTGTAGACTTTGATTGGTTTGTATTATATAGTAGTATGTGTTTATATAAAGATGAATAAAACAAAATATTAGAATATTTTAATATGGCAGCGAGACATTGTTCAACCCCAGTGTATAACACACAAATCAGTTAGTGTCAACAGAACTAAGGGTTTTTAGTAATATAGTCTTAATTGCAGTGCTTTTATTGCATCATAGTGATGCACCTCACAGTGTATGTATTTTTCTGATGTCATTGTACATGATAGTCAAGTCTTTATTCATGAAACACATTTAAATGTAACAGACGGTGACCATAGTGTTCACATAGGGCTGCACGATTAATCGTTAGAAAATCGCGATCTCGATTCATACTTATGTGCGATCTCATTTCCAAATGACAACGATTTAAAAAAAAAAAAAAAAAAAAAAAAGACGACGACGATTGTACCGCATTTTGATCCGGGACGTAATCTGCATGAAAACAAGCGCTCACTCTTCCTGCTCAACAAATGACAAGGGCGGAGCCTTATACCACGTGATACAGAAGCTGTGCCGTGTGATGCTAAAATTAGCAGGGAAAAAACAACGGAGAGCACGTCAGGGATGACGAGAAAGTGACAGGAGAAAATCCGTCCCGGTCAACCACCCAAACATCAATAACGGGAACCTTATACAGCGCTTCCCTATACACGTCGAACTCCCGCAGGCACAAAGAAATTACGGAGGCTATCACTTATCACCTGACCAAAGATATGGCTCCCATCAACACTGTGCAAAACGAGGGATTTAGGAAAATGATCAACACCCTAGACTACGGAGCCCCCCAGGGGACATGGGAGAAAAAAAAATTAGGGAGGAAAAAAAAAAAATTAGGGAGGAAAAAAAAAAAATTAGGGAGGAAAAAAAAAATAAGACGACTTTTGCAGACTCGCAAAAGTATTGCGAGCGCTCGCAAAAGTATTGCGAGCGCTCGCAAAAGTATTGCGAGATCTCGCAAAAGTATTGCGAGCGCTCGCAAAAGTATTGCGAGATCTCGCAATAAGTATTGCGAGCGCTCGCAAAAGTATTGCGAGATCTCGCAAAAGTTTTAGCCGCATTCTTCGGAGGCCGCCAGCTCGAAGCCGACCGGGAGGTCGAGGCACGATGTGCCGGGAAAGCGGTGTTCCTCCCGGCTGTAGTAGGTCTCGACCTCCCGTTAGCTTCGAGCTAGTGGGTGTCAGATCTCCAAAAACCTCGGAGCTCTTTTGCAAATATGTGATGTCTTGTAAACCGAGCAGGTATCTGACGTTTACACAACTACATTCACGCCTCAAAATATCTTAAAAGTGTATTTTGTGACCCAGAAAGAGTAATATTACAACTAAGTAGCTGCCGCCATTGTTGGAGTTTTGCGAGATCTCGCAATACTTTTGCGAGCGCTCGCAATACTTTTGCGAGTCTCGCAATACTTTTGCGAGCGCTCGCAATACTTATTGCGAGATCTCGCAATACTTTTGCGAGATCTCGCAATACTTTTGCGAGGCTCGCAATACTTTTGCGAGATCTCGCAAAAGTCCGTCTTAATTTTTTTTTTCCTCCCTAATTTTTTTTTTTTTCCTCCCCAATTTTTTTTTCTCCCATGTCCCCTGGGGGGCTCCGTACTAGACAAACGCTACACAGTGCCGTCCCGCAACTATTTTTCTATTGTTGCACTACCTGCTCTATACACGCAGCGTCGAGCAACGGTGGAGACGGAATTTCAAGCAGTACAACATTTTGCGGCAACAACAAAACGTGAGACATTTGTTGTTTTTATGTTTATTTATTGTTTTTATGTTCAGTCTCAACTGTTACGAAGTTGATGTGCAGTTAATAAGTGCAATAAATATTTATACTGGAAAAGAAAATCGTGAGAGAATCGTGATCTCAATTCTAAGCCAAAAAATCGTGATTCTCATTTTATGCAAAATCGTGCAGCCCTATTTGCACATATTTAATGTTCCATGTTAGACCCTCTATTAAAAGGAGTCATATTATAGTAAGATGAGCTTTTTTCCTCTTTATATGGGAAACAGCTCCAGGGATTTACTGAAACAAGTGCAAACGTCTATGTAAATACAGACAGTACAAAAGATGGACATAGCTACCGTGATGTCGTCCACTGATTTCTGAATTCGGTGAAACCTCTGCATGAGTGTTTCCATCTACGCTGTCCTGGTTGCATAAAATTTTTTATTTAATATGACCCAAATTTCTTTGGATCTTGGCTGCCTTTTGTTCTTTTCTCTGTCAAAATGATCTAACACAGCTCTGAGGAAGCCAATCCATGATTGATAGAGTTTCATTTTTCATTTTTTTGTATCCACATGTGCTTTTACTGCATTGACAGTGAGTTCGGGATCATTGTCTTGCTGAAAAATTAAGGCTTTACCAATAGAGGCTATTGCATGATTGAGAATGTGCCTTTCACGTTTCATTTTAAAACACCATTCAGATCGCTCATTCTACCATGCCTGTATACCTGCGGTTTCAGTCAATTTCAGAGTCTGTAGCAAATGAGCTGTTGCTACCCCAGACGCTGTGGTGAGAAACACGGCAGGAAAGGAGAACTGAGAACACAGCCTCATCAGGAGCTTCTAAATAGCGCTGCCTTCTAGCAACAAATATTGCATCTATCTAGACAAACTTTAGCTGTTTTGCATAGCAAAGCTAGTTAAATACATAGTTAGCCCTGCTGTCATCATGGAGAGAACTAAAAAAAAGTTTACCATGGTTTCCCTGGTTCTCTTGCTATTGTAGTTAATTGTACTAGATGTGCTGGAGTATGTTCTGTACTGGTGAAGCAATGTTCTGTCTTGAAAATTTAATAAGAGTTGTATTGTGTGCAAGGTAGCAGAGGGCTTGTACAAAATAAGTCACTCGATTACAACAAAGGCTGTAGGTTTCTATAGTAACTTGTATTTGTATATTTGTGTGTGTGTTTGCATGTGTGTGTTCTTCCCTAAGGAAAATGGCATCGAGGCAGTCTTCACTCCTCATCCTTGCCCTTCCTGGACCCTCCCATGGGAAAGCTTACCAGGAGCGATCAACCCTACTGAAGGTAAACTCTAATCTTGCCTCGAGGCTGTGCTCTTTGCTGGCTCCATTTTATTTTTGCCCTCCTGCCCTTGCACTTTTATCATTGCCCCTTTGGTTTGTTTTAGTTTTATTTTCTTGTATTTATTTGATGTCTTCATCTCTCTTTGTCCTCCTTTCACTATTTTTACTTCCCTCATGTTTTGTAAGCCTGTATGCCTCTGCAACACTCCACAGCCTCTTTCTCCCACCTTATTTCTGGGTTGACTTCAAAAAACACAAATGTTACTATATATGGAGCGAGGAACATGAATAAATATTTGCATTATACCTTTCGGTACTACTGTGGCTGTTGGTGATTTATAGCTGCACCTAATGCTAACACATTTTATGTTAATCTGCAGGTGGATGCGGTTCCCCTTGAGGGTCCCCTAATGATTTTTAATCTACATGTGCTATCCTGCTGATGTTGTAGGGTGAAAGTGTGAAATAGGTCTGTGGTAGAACAAGAGTCAAAAACAATAAAAACACCTAAAAAGGTTCAAAGACAACTTGTACAGTGTCCCACTTGTCTTAGTGGATACTTCTTGCTGTGAGAGTAGTTTGTGATAGACAATGGGGGAGGTTTGTTGATTGCTGCCCCAGGTGGCATTGGAGCAACAGAGAGAGGGGATAAATCTGTTTCTTTGCCTCTTTTCCTCACCTGCATTGTTTCTCTTTTTAGTGAGATGTCTTTGTTGTTAGCAACGCTAAATGATGCACATGCATCACTCCCAACATATAAGTGTTATTCCATCCATCCATCCATCTCAATCCAATACATTTGATTCCGTCCATCCATAGAGAGATAGACAACCATTCACACTCACATTCCCATCTTTGGCCATTTTTGGAATAGACGTGCATGTTTATAGACTGTGGGAGAAAGCTGGAGCCCGGAGAGACCACCCCCACAGACACAGGGAGAACATGTAAACTCCACAGTCTGGCTTTGGTGGGACCTTCTTGCTGTGAGGTGAGGGCACTTGCTGCCATACGGTCACGTTGCCGCTTCAGTGTTATTGACACAAGAAATTGGGGAAGGTAGATGAGGGCACATGCTTCATGCATGTGATTGTTTAAATATTTCAATTTTCTTTAATATTGTGTAGCGCACTCGTTTCTTTCTTCCTTTCATTTTTGCTTATTTGGGAAATTGTTACAAGCAGGAGTTCATTCAGTGCCTATTTCCTCCAACAAAGAAAATGAGAAAAGGAAACCAGAAAGAATATTTCATTAAAAAAAACCTTAATTTAAGATCTCTACCTCTTTTCAGCTTTTGTTTTGTGTAGGTCAAATTTCCACTTCATTACCATGATATTAAGCTTTTTTTTTCAATCCAAGCAACTTGAATAGTAAATTGATTTTATCCATATCCAAACCAAACAGGTTTACAAAATGATACATTACCATACAATACAACAAAAACCCCGCAGAGAATGAGCAAACACGCTAAATAAACAGATAAACGAGCTGTTGAGTGATTTTGTTTATTTTGCGTCCTGAAGCCTTTGCTCTGTGATCCATCTTTTAACTTGTGCTACTTTGAAGCGTATTTTCCCGACGTATTTATTCCTACTTTTACTGATTCAACAGAAACTTTGATAACAAACGGTGTTTGATTTGCTCATTGTTATTTTCTGTTTGTGTGAATATTCCAGGCAGTCAGTATGACACTCATCTAAATTGATGTGTTGCCCAAATAAGGGCCTGTTAGCACATTGACATATTTCTATTATCTGTCATTATTTTGAGATAAAAAATTTAAAAAATGTGTTTTAATATTTGGTCTTTACTTTCAAATTGTTTTAATTTGAAGCTGTATACAAATGTGGAGTGTAGGATTTATAGAAACATAAAGGTTAAAAATGAGCAAAATAAAAAAGCACCCAATCTGGACCTGTACATATATTCACAATTCTGGCAGCTGGGCAGTAGCAGATTTCAATAACTGTAGTATGTTTTTTTTTTTTTCCATTTATTTCTCTCATTATGCCAGCGAAATAAATACTTAATTATGAATATGTAACTTTAAAAGTCTCTCAACTCCTCATTACATACTTTAAATATTGTAAAATTGAAGTAAAGTCATGATGCTAATTATTGTTTATTGACACTTACTTACTTGGCTTAGTTGGTTTGAGGCTCTTGCCATTAAAACAACAAGCATTAAAACCAATGGATCCTTGCTACTAAAAACCTGATTTAAGATCACTGAGTTCCTGATGCAGGCTATCTGTTGTTTTAGAATCCAAGAAGATGTTTGCCCTCCTTAATGCAATTTACATGATTGATGCTTAGTTACCACATTTAGACACCACACTACCTTTGCTTTCATCTAGGTGTAGACCCGAGTGTCGTCCATTGATCTGTTGCTGTTTGGTAGTATCAAGATAAGGTTGGAAGAGTAGTGGGGAGGAGAGGTTAGACCAGACTTAGGAAATATCCGGCTTCTGTTAGCGGGTCAGCTTTTTGTATTCGGCGCTCTCATTGTATGGGACTTCATTTACTTGGGTGTTTGTATCAAGTTTGATGACTGATTTAAGACTGAAGTGCACAGATAGTCTGTCATGTTCTTCACATGGGCAAAAAATGTAAATACAGTTTTTCTCATGTTTGTTAAGAAATTTTGATGACTGGTTCTGGATAGAAAGTCAGAAATGTTTTTAGAAGTTTCATGACAAATAATTCAAAATGTGTTGAGATATTTATTTAAAGAAAACAAGGTTGAGGTATAGGAAAGTCAAGGCATCTCCTAAATTAGAAGAGTTCATTGTATGTTAAATAAATCTTTACAAAATTTCTTTTCATGGCACAGATTAACCAAAAAAACATTATAGGGATCTCACCATCACTAAAGTCATCCTGGAAACTTGGATATCTTGTCTGTATGTTTGTTCAGCTCCATTGTCCTAAAATTGGGGGATTGTATAAAAAGAAGTTCCACACTGAACTCATTTTTGGCAGTTTGACTCCAGTAAAGTAAAAAACAGAACGAAGTCTCAAAGTTGCCAAAATGTCTGGGGATGGAGCAGAGTTAGCAGATGGCTGATTGTAACTTTGGACAATGTTTTCAGAACATCCTGGATTAGGTGGAGATGCAGAAGAGGAAAGATGGACTTGGAAGGCAAACTGACATAATTAGCGTTGAGTTTTAAAGAGGATATGAGACCAATTGACTCGGTGAAGACGGCCAAGAAGATGATTGCATCGGAGGAGTAATGACAAAGCTGAGAGTGAGGAGAGTTTGGCAGCGTGGGAAAGCAAAAAAACAACAAAACGAATAGAGCAGCAGGAACAGTCCCAATACTCAGAAGTGCAGGCACAAAAAGCAGGAAACCTTTTTGAACCCACACGGAACGTCATTAGAAGACTATCGAAGCAGTTTAACTGCATAGTCAATGTTTCATTGTTGGTCTGTTGTGCTGAATTAGAGCCAAAAAAAAACTGAGCTCATGTCATTATCCTTTTACTTTTGACTGCACTGTACTGGTTATATTGGGTCTCACTGATTTTTAGCTCATTAATGTGGTTCCACAGTGAAACTTTAGCATCTATTTCTAGCCTAAACCTCAGTGACATCTAGAATGCTCTTCCCTAAAACTCCACTGATACCTGAACTGAAGTACTCTATGTGATGTAGGCGGGGTGTCTATACCAAGAGTGAAAATCATGTAGAGATACTAAATTTCAGCTGTTCCACTTTTGTCAGCACTCTGCATGATAAACGGTGCTCTTGATGTCCTGCTCCTGCAGAATTATGCTTGCATGCAGGTAACCCCTGTGATTCTGTACTGTGTAATTAAAGAGGAGCAGAGACGAAAGGCACACAATTTGTACAGAACTCCAGCGCATGAGCCTCCCCATCTATCTATTCCTTTTGTGCACACAAATGGCTCCACACATGTACACACGTATAGTACTACAGGGAAAATTTCAGTGTTTTCCCCTTACGTGTGCATAAATATTTCCATGTGTGCAAAACTAATATATAACACCCACAAGCTTTTGAAACATGAAATTTTGAAATGGGGTTATTTCTGCTCTGTACTCTAGAGCAATGGATTTGAAATTAATAAATGAGAGTTTGCCTTCATCCATTTTTTCTATTTTTATCCATTTCCAAGGTTGGGTACAATTTAGGTCTTACAGTATACATGGAAAAACTTCCAAGCGTCCGACTGCTAAAAAATAAACAATTGTCAAATAATAATCATGCTAGCACATCTCCATAAACTGTTTTGCTTTATATACGGACCTATTTGCATTCATTGATTAAAAAATTGTACACACAGGCTCCCAGGTGTGCATAATATGTAGAACAACAAAGTTGTCCTGCTTGTATGGAGGCGCTGATTCACTACGTTTAGTCAGGGTTTGTCTGCAAACAGATAAACAGCAATGTGAATAGAGGGGCCATTGTGTTAGAACAGCCAGTGGCTTGTCTCCAGCACTTCACTTAATAGATGGAGGAGAGGAGGTGCAAATAAAGCATGGTAGAATGATGGAGTGGGTGACAGTGGGAGATTGAGATAGGGGTGAGACAGCATGAGGGGAGACAAGGGTTATCAGTAGAAAACAAGGCAGGAACGAGGGGGTGAACAAGACAACGAGGCATTAAAGGGGAGAGCTGGTGAAGAACTGCAAAGTTGTCATGCTTGAGACATGGCGCTATTAGATCCTTCGGGGTTGTTTTGGTACACGCAGATGAGACGAGTTCCTTTGTTTTTTGTCGTAGGTTACAACAGCATGGCAGAAGTTGAACTGCTTGAATGAAAGCTGGCTCCATTTGTCTCCGGCTCCCTGCTTCTACTGCAAGAGAGATGTGATTGAGATTCCACAAACTCTGCAGCTGACTGTGTATATTTCTTGAAAAGTACGCATAGATTAATAGAAAAAATGAGGAAGAGATTTGCTTTTACTGGAATTAGGAACTTGGTTATGTGGGTAATTTAACTGGATGCAGATCATGTAGAATATTTTGTT